GAGTTGTTTCTCCAAGCTTGCGACACGTGCTTCCAACGCGTTGATATATGCATTTGTATGTCGTCTGTCCATATATGTTAGTATCATTTCTGCCATCATGCTGTTTTGACGTACTTTCTGTTGCTTTCAGCCTGGGTATATTCGCAGTCTTGTTGGCGGTCGTAGCATGCGCTGCATCTTGGCTGACTGCCATCGCACTGCGTATAGCTCGGGTCAGCTACTATCACACGTAGATTGAGGTCATGCAACGTCACACGCTCGTATTGAGGCTCAAATCGTGCAGGGAGGGGAGCAATACCTTTGTCCTCTTGACCCGACACCCGTTACAGGCTACCGAAGCCCGCTTCCTGGGGTTAGGTGGGGCAGAATGCACAGCCGTCGTAGACATGATCAAATACGTGATTCAGAGTCTTTAATTCTTAATGCGTGATCGTGTGAGAAAACAAGGAGCCGCGGCGATGGAATCTGGGGTAATAATTGCAACTTCTCCACTGTCGTTGCCGCCCAGGCCCAGGGCAACGGAAGGTTTAATGAATCCGAGGCAAAGAAGCTATTCCGAAAACATGATAGCTTATCTGTAACCGTCTCGGAGCGATTGGTATGCTGGAGTCCGAGCTTCACTGCTAAAGCTGATAAAGCTTAGTAGATTGGTGGTGTCACTAGTCCTGTCCTGGGAAGCATCGTCAAAAACTGTGATAAATGCATCCATCGAACGGTCTCGATGTCGTTAGTGAGATGGACGAAGGCTGCATTGTCGAGATAGCATTGGGTTACGCAAGCTGAATGGCACGGCACCTGCACTGCTGCAGATCCGTGGTTCGTAGTCTATCATCAGGGTTCATGAATTAAGCTTCCCTCCCTTCTGGGGGTCAGTGTAGGGTAGTAGGCATTTAATCCACGTACAAGCCAGATTGTGAAAGCCAAGTGTGCTTGGAAGTATTGGTTCTTATGCTTGACTCTTTGGAATCAATTCTATATACTCTGTGTGAGAGATAAGATAGAGGACAGACGATAGGCAGTTGCACGTACCTATCCCAAGTCTGCTATCATCATTTGCGTGTGCCGAGAAGTTGTTTGCTCCCCCGCATAATCTCCTTGCGTTAGCGTCAGGGTATTTGATATCCGGATTGTGAGCTACCGAACAGACCAATCAAGTTGCATCTGTATCAACATGGACTGGGTAGTATTCTGACCCCTTTTCTGTTTATCAACAAGGGTCTTTCCAGGTTTCATTGACTTATCAGAACCCCAAGTCTTGTGTCTGCGGTATGTAGTAGCTGAACCAGCGCCGAAAAGGAGACGAAAAGATCAGTTCGATGACGTATGAGGCCTAGGGACAGATGAACCAATCAACACCTGCAGCTTGCCAATTTTGATGCTACGACTAAATAGGAAATTCATAACTCCGCCTTGACCTCTTCCCACTTTGCGTGTCGCAAAAGGCCCTCACAAGCGAAAATGGTAGCCCTTCGAACAATAAACTTCAACATACCGACGTTGGAGACAAGGACATGTCTTCACAGACAAATGATCTTATAGCATTGGGTATCCCGCCAAAGAGGCAACCCCGGCGCAGTAAAGGATGCTTGACGTGCCGCAAACGCAAGGTCAAATGCGGTATGTCATTATCGCTCAGGGATTCTGTTCACAGCTGATGACCATAGATGAACAGCGACCGACCTGCAAGAGGTGCAATAAAGGGTTTCATCCATGTCAATACGATGACAATATTGTATTTGTAAATCATTTACATGATGCAAAAACTGTCCGACTTCAAGATCCTGCGCCTCAGCCTCACGATGCATTGACCCAAAGGGGAGACTTCAAGCAAATGCCCGTCACAATTGACTTGCATGGCTTTAAAAATGAAGTAGTCATATCTTTCTTTGTCAGCAATCTATTTCTTCTGGTCAAGTCACCCCTCGAAGACGGATCCCCAATCCTGAATCTTTTCTCAGGAGAGGCGGGCTCAACAGCAGGCATGTCGGGCTTATGTGTTGCAGAAGCCTTCTTCTCTAGCATGCACTGTATACCTGAAATGAGGGTTCATGCTTCTGCGCTGTATGGGAAGGCGGTACAAAAGCTGAAGACTGATCTTGGAACGAGGACCGAAGCGTCGACGCCTCTCCCTCATTCCACCATATGGAGCGCGCTTTTCCTTGGCGTATATGAGATGATATCTTCTGATTCCATGTCAAATTGGCTACAGCACTGCCATGGTGTTGCAGCATTGGTACGGCCGCCCTTTAGCAGTTGTTGATTAGCTTTTGCTAACGTTGAAAGACGGAAATGGCAGGGCCCTATGGATTCCAGATGGACGCGGCAATAACCATTTTACAGATCAACAGGTCATTCATAGTATGGTATTTCACTTCACAACTGATAATTTACTGACCCTTTGCAGTCCATAGGTGCTATGGCCCAACGAAAACGCACCTTTCTAGAACAAGATGAGTGGAAGCATATACCATGGGCACTGCAACCCATGTCCAAGACGATCGGGGATCACCTACAAGATATTTTATGCGACATCCCTGGCATGATGGAAGAAGTCGATAATATTTTCGACGCGAATAGTTTCTCGGTGTCTGCAAATTTCATAAGTCAAAAGCTGCAGGCTTCTTTTGAGCAGCTCGACTCTTTGCGGATCTCATGGACCTTCATGCATCCTCATAGTTGCTGGAGACAGAAGAGGGTGTTCGAAGCATCAGAACTATACCATGAAACACTGGGGCATTTTCTATGCTTTTCTGATCTCGAAAGAGCCATCGATTTTGTCTACTTCAACACAACTCACTTGATATTGCATTCAATATTGGGGCAGTTGATATTATTGCCAAGCAACTGCCGCGTCTTCGATGCAGGTATGTCTCCGTACGAAAACCACTTTGAAGAGGCATCGGAGCTTGTGTTGTGGAACCATGAGAATCGTTACCGCAACGCACAAGCAATATGCCAATGCGTAGATTATATGCTACAGAACGAAGGCGGAGCATCGGGAGCGTTCAATCTGCTATTCCCACTGAAAGTCGCGTATAATCACCTAAGCGGTTTTCCGAGCATGCAAGGATGGGTGGCAGGAGTTATGGAAAAGATATCTACTACGAAAGGGCTTTTCATTGGGGCGCAGATCCTAGAGAAATATTAAGAGCTGCTTTGCTATGCGTCTGCCATCAGCTTCACCAGCGCTCGCCATCACCGCACCGAGCAAGGCCAGAAGCGGTTTAGTGAAGCAGCTGAACGGTTTTCCAATAAATCCAATAAGAGCCATTCACTGATCACTTGTGCCGGTGATTCCGGATCATCATAAGAAAGCGGGATTATCAGCCGCCGTGGTGGGGCCGGATCGCGAGGTGCTGTCTAGCGTGACTCCGCCGAAGCTGACAGATCGTCATCTCGGACTACTCTTTCAGGAACTGGAGCGCGAGGTGAAGTGATAGTCCAGCTTGGACATGGCACTGCCACTAAATAACAATATCAATGAATTATGAGCGCATTGGCAGCCAGATTGTTATAAAACAGTGCTTTCTCGCAGTCTCGATCAAGTGTATCAAGTCACTCAAGTCTTTTCTTCCATTGTCATCATGCAGCTCAAACCTTTTCTGTTTCTTTTCGCAGCTCAAACTGCTATTGCTACCCAGGTAAAATGGGCAGGGTAGGTTCACATGATCAACAAATTCGGAGAACGATGACTAACATGAGCAGTGTCAATTTGTTTGGCCTCGCCAACGATGTCAACATCCTCGGATCAGCTTACAACATCTTCCTCGATCTGTCCTGCAAACCAAGTTATCACAGCTACCCATACATAAACACCGTTGAAGACTACAAGTCATGGCACGACAAGGGCTTCAATCTCTTTCGGATTGCTATGGCCTGGCAGCATGTCCAGACTTCGCTTGGCGGCAGCCTGAATGAGACCAATATGGAAGCAGTTGACAAGCTGGTCAAGGCCATTACCGACGATGGTGGACAGGCCATCCTGGATATTGTAAGTTGACATGGTCTCCTCTTTTTGCTGTTCGCACACTGATTGTTCCAGCACAACTATGCACGTTGGTATTGCGCCGTGATCGGCCAACCTGAAGTGTCATTCCTCAATCCAAATATCACCGTCACCAACGACCACTTTTCCGATCTCTGGACCAAGCTTGCCGAGAGATACAAAGCAAACCCCAAGGTCATCTTCCAACTCATGAATGAACGTATGTTGAACTCTGAGCACCTCTTAGCCCATAGTCTATTGCCTGCAGTCAAACTAACAGTTGTCTAGCTCATGATCTTGACATCACCAAATGGGGCGCGACAAACCAGGCTGCAATTATCGCTATCCGAAACGTCACCGACAAACAGAAAATTCTTGTCTCAGGAACGCAATTTGCTCGTCTCGTCGACTGGGAGGCTTTCTCTCAACCGGGTATCGGCCCCGGTCTCATTCAAGACCCCGCCAACAACACTCTCTACGACTTTCACCAGTACTTCGACGATATAGCCGGAGCATACGGTCTCTGCGAGCCCTGGAGTGGTTTTGTCAAGAGGTTTGAAGAAGTCACTCGCATCTTGCGTCGTAATGGCTTTCAAGGAATGGTCACAGAGTTTGGAGGTGGACCTTTTCCTCACTGTGCTGACACGATTCAATCCATGCTGGCATTCCTCGACCGCAACAGTGATGTCTGGTATGGTTGGACTGCATGGGGTAGTTTTAATGAGGGCTCGGACTTGTACCTGAGTTTGGATAAGAACTCGACCTACAACCTTATCACTAGGACTCTGGAGAAGTTTGTTCCGAATTAGAATAGTACAGCTGACGAAACCTGAGGAGATCGGCTCAGTCTGACAAGAAGCTGAGAGCTCGAGAACGGAAATTTGTATTCTAGAATTATTTACAATATGAAAGTCAAACTAGGCTTCGATCAGAAAGGGACAAATAATATCGTTGCTTATTCAACTTTGCTGGTTTAACAGAGAAACAATGCGTGTTCTCTAAGAAGGGCGCTACTTCATTTCTCCGGCTTCTGTCCATATACAACATATCTACACAAGGTTAGCTTAGTGGATTGCTGATGTGGTTCCTTGACTTACATAGGCCAGTAAGAATGAATGGCTTTGTCTTCCATTTCGCGGCGGACCTTGGCGAGTAATACATCCAGCTCTTCTTTACTCCAGCCGAGGACACGTGTATAGACAGCAGAGCTGAGACCCTCAAGGCCAGAGCTGATGTTTTCGAGATTCCAAGCACCTATACGCGGTCAGCACATCAGCAACTCATAGGAGACTGGAGCAAAGAGTGATGCTTACCAAGCTCTTTGTGCTTCTTGTCTCTCGGCCAAGTATTCTGAGGCCATTTGAACACGACCTGTTGGACGTTCTGAAAGCCCTGGGCCTCGAGCTGTTCCTTATACTTATCCGCCCCGTCGAATGGCCGTCCAATCATCTTTGTGCCGTCCAGCAATTTGGTAACCCATTCATGAGTTGCCGAGTCTTTTGCGAGAGTTCCGTCATCGCTGGTAATAGGGTAAATGTCTGCCAGTTCGATCCAGCCGCCGGGATTGAGATTATCGTAGGCCTTGGCGAAGAAGCCGGGCCAGTCAGCGATGGATGCAGTCATCATGCGACTGTAGATGAAATCGAACTTGACATGAAATGTCCACGGCTCTTCAATGTCGTCGATTTGGAAGCTCAAGTTCGGAGGAACAAAGGGACTTTGGATGGGGCTGAGGTCAATTCCGATGACTGAAGCGCTGGGATGCTCATCGGCGAAGTCCATGGCCCACAGTCCGGTGCCTGTCCCAACGTCGAGAACATTGTGTAGTTGGCGACCTTCGCGACCGGCGGGTGATAAATAGAGCTTGTCATCAAAGGTGATAAGAAAAAGATGATGTTGCAAATCGAGCCTATCCTGCTCCTGCTCGTCGTTAGGGATCACATATTGTCCGTCCTTGTACGCGTGATACGTGCGGCCGTTCTCTTGGCGATACTTTAGAATGCTTGAGGTAACTGACGAAGTGGAGCTCCCTTCATTTAGACCAAGGGAGTCAGTATCGCTGGCAGTATCAGTGTCGGCCTCATCAACTTCTAGCGCCACGGGATCGGCAGTCGAGACAGGATCAGCCATTATTTCGACAGCAATAATATTACGTGAAGGATAAATTTGTATGTCGTGATTGGAAAGTGAGGGGCCACTTCACATGCTGGCTCGTCTAAATGTTCTGCAGAACCAACAGCCCAGGGTTCTCCAACAGAACAGCGTACAAGGGTGCTGAAAGGTCAATTGATCGATTCTTACAGCGCGACTATTCTACAACATTCAATTCTCAGAACGCGAAAACCTTGCTAATGCCCTCTGCGAAATTCTTGGCAAGAGCTTTGTGAATAGCGACACCGGCATGATACGTATCGGTCCAGAGGCAGTCATTTCCACCATAACATGTCGCGTCTTTGGCCCCATACTCTTTGAAGCTCTTGACTGCGGTGTCAAAAGTAGGTTTCGTGTCAAATACGGTCACCTCGACACCTGAGCTAGACTTTGAAAAGTTGGCAGCACGCTCAGTTAGAGCTTTGTTATAGGCAATGATGTCTGCACGAAGCGTATTGAGGTCTGATTCTGGCTGTCCGATCATTGCCGGGATTTGGTCCGCGAAAGCTGGTACCATATTAGCTTGGGTTAATGGATAGGGAGAAGCGACGTACGAGGAACAGTGAGAAGGGCAAACTTCTTCAAGCCAGTCTCAGACAGCGTCTTCAAAAGCTCGAAATACCGATCCATGGTTTTCTCAATTGGCGCTGCCGATTTCTTCCAGAATGGTTCACCGAGATCATTGATACCGATCCATACGGCGACAAGTGTTTCTGCCGAACTGATTTTGTCTGCGACATATTCTTTGTACTGGGCAACCTGGTCATCAACGCAGTACTGCGCATATGTCGAGACGATTTCCTTATCAACTGTAGCGCCAGTGACAGCAAAGTCATAAGTCAAGACCGTAGACGTATTCAGCATGCTAGTCAATTGGCCCACCCAGTTTAATCCATTTGCTGTTGTTTGCCCTGGTAGAGCGGGATTTCCGAGAGGGCTGCTAGCGCTGGGCAAGTCGCCTCCAGGCCAGAAGCCAACTGTCGAGTATGAGTCGCCACTAGGAGTTGTAAGAACGATAGGCTCGATATTTGCCAAAGAGATGGCTTACAAGACAATTAGGTTTTTAGTAGCACCAGTAGCTCTGGACAGAACAGGGGTAGCTGTCGCCTGGGACAGTCCAGCTGCCAGACTCAAAAATTGGAGAAACGACCTCATTCTTTCAAGTATAATACAAAGAAAAGAACGGATGAAGAAGGGGAAACAAAACAGACAAGTTCTCAAACGTGGCAAGGGCACTTTAACCTTTAAACTGATCATCTTGACCGGGTCCCTGCCAAGATGTTTCATCCGGAAGATTGGTGACGTTTGATGATACAACGTCCCATTGGTGGAAATGGCATATTAATTACGGTGACGAGGAGTATCTCTCAAAGGGCGCGCGTTCAAGGTCGGAGAAATATTAAATATAACTATGAACCCAAGGAATGATATTCTTTAAGAATAATTCTACTCGTGGCTGGCCGGAAGTATGGTGACGAACGTGGAAACCAAAGCAGTACGAATTCGCCTTACTGACCATCACAGCCTGTTGATGGCACAGATCTCGCTAGCAATAGCTGATCGCATAACGCGTTATCTTCAGTTGGGCCTCGTGGCTAGGGCTTAAATTCGAATACCACCCAAAGCTTAGCGGCCAGAAAGATCTCAGCTTTGAAGGCAAAAATCTAGAACTTTAGGTACGTCGATAGGAAGATGGTATAGCTCTTCGCAAGAGTTGGAGTCGAGAGAGCTAGTCTAGCCGAATTGGAGACGGGGCTGACCAACCGGGCGAAGGGGAGTTTTTTTTGGGGTAGGTTGGGTTTGGAGATATTGGAGCAACATTGAGATGCAAAAAGGTGGCGAACATAAGCCAAGAGGTGAACAACAGATATAGAGTGAACTGTTCAACTTTTTCTCTTATCTTGTATTGATTGATTGAAAATATCCCTTCCTCGGCTTGATCCTTATCAATCTACCTCGGCAGTCCTTCCCGACCCACAATCACGACTTTTGCTTGTGGGCCTTGGGCTAATTTACAATCACATGGCACCGAGAATGTCTCCTGATTTTTATGTTTAATATCCTTGACACTTCAACTTTTCTGTTTATAGTCAGTCACTCCTTCCTGCTTGTTATGATTCTGTATCTTTAACCTTGGAATCAAATTCTGGTCCAGTGTACGGATACCCTTAGTACTCTATCACGTAAATCTTTTTCTTAATATTCTCCACCAAGCCTTATCGAGATGACCAGTATCGATAAGCCCCTACCCGCAACCAAGGCCTCGAGGCCTGGCGACTTCGAAGCTGTGAGAAAGTCTATCATCGATCTCCTCCGCCAGCCTGACTACGATGATGGAAGTGCTGGCCCTGTCCTTGTGCGCCTAGCCTGGTAAGCCTACAGCAAACCTGACAAACATAGGTTTATGATTAACGTAGCCTATAGGCACTCGTCTGGCACATATGATGTAGCAACAGATACCGGAGGTTCAAACGGCGCTGGCATGCGCTACGAGGCCGAGGGTGGCGATCCCGCCAACGCCGGCCTTCAGAATGCTCGTCTCTTCCTAGAGCCCCTCAAGCGTCTTCACCCATGGATCACATACTCAGATCTATGGACCATTGCCGGTGTAACGGCCATCCGAGCCATGGGAGGTCCCGAAATTGATTGGCTTCCGGGGCGAACAGACTTCACTGATGACAGCAAGCTTCCACCTCGCGGCCGTCTTCCTGATGCGGCACAAGGAGCGGACCACATCCGAGACATCTTCTACCGAATGGGATTCAACGACCGGGAGATTGTAGCCCTCAGTGGCGCGCACAGCCTTGGACGATGCCATACGGAAAACTCGGGATTCGAGGGCAAATGGGTCAACAATCCGACACGATTCTCGAATCAATATTTCCGCCTCCTGCTGTCCGAAAAGTGGACCGAGAAGACAGTCCCCGAATCTGGTGTTACTCAGTTCTCTTCTGTTGACCCTGACACAGAAGAGGAGTTGATGATGTTACCGACCGATATGGCTCTGACGACAGACCCCGAGTTCTCCAAGTATGTGCGTCTTTACGCCGAAGACAAGGAGCTCTTCTTCAACGACTTCAAGGCAGCCTTCGCCAAGCTGCTGGAGCTGGGAATAGCAAGAGACGCAGAAGGGAATATTACCAACAGCGATAACGAGAAGGGAGGATATAGAAGCGCGCCGAAAAAGAGCGATTCGGTCTCAAGAGGTGCAGAGTTCGGGCAAGGGGCCAAGACAAATGGTTGTCCTGTTATGCACGCCAGGGCGAAGCTCTGATGTGTTGTGTGTTGTATGTTGACTTATACCCGTATAGACCATAGATGGGGAAGAAGATACACAAGTATAATTAGATAGCTATAGATCTGTTTCTTTGTAACTGTATCAACACGAACTTTATTTTGCTACTTAAAGTCTATGAGTTTTAAGTACTCTGCATACTTCCGACACATCCCATTTTCCTCGTAATAGTATAGCCGATATCCTTCTTGAGATATGGACATATTTGTCACTGTGATATAGGTCTCTCAGAAAAGAATCTTAGAAACAAAGAATGGGTAAAACAAAGTTAAGTATATGTCACGAGGGACATCAACGGATTATATTGGGCTGCGCGAATCTGCGACAGATCCCTCTTCCAACTCTGCAAATATCACCGCTGGCGTTGCACGTTGGCTGTAAGATACAATTTGACACCGACGAGACAGCCGTATTCCGTCTCACGTCACTCAATTTGCTTCCCTCGCTATGACTCAAGTAAGGGTCAGGCTTCTAGATACATCACCACATATCCTGTCTCTTAACAGACTGCACCATTCGTACTCAGATTCGGCTTCTCCTTGCTCCTCCATCGTCCTTCCAACTTCGAAACCAGCTTCGTAATCGACAAGTTCTTTTTCAAGCTTTCTGCCTTCTTGGTCTTCAACAGATAACCTATGGCGAAAAGAATTGTCACAGCCACGACAGACGCCACTGCCCACCATTTGAGGGAGTTCCCAAGCCCAATTAGTGGATCCATGTTCATTGATAACAGTGCAGCCGCTAAGCTTGGTGGAATGAAAAGCGAAGCGAGTGTGGTGAGTTTGGATGTGTTGCTGGCATCAGTCAGGCTGATAGTCGAGTTGACTACCGTGCTGAGACGGTCGATCCGTGTTTCGTAGTCCTCCAAACGTTTCTTGATAATCTCCAGATCGTCTTGATAAAGCTTGAAAGACTTGGCAACTTCATCTTCTTTGTCATCCATGATTTGGCCCATGGTTGCTTGAAGCATATCCCGTGCTTGGGGTACCCATCGTCGCCAGAAATGGAGCTTCCTAAGACTCTGCTTCTGATGGTCTGTACCTCCAGACTCGGGGAAGAATGATGGGTTCACGATTCCCCAGTCGATTTGGTTGAGCCGGGCGTTGAGATAGTCGGCGAATGTAAGCCACTCGCCACTTACCAAATGCAACAAGCACTGGATCGGAATGGAAAGTTGTTGATTCGCACCATCTGTGGGCTTTGCGACGTTGGCGGTCTTTTGGGCCCAGAAAATGTAGTCTTCGAACCAGCTCATTGGGTTTTCAGCATCCTTGGTTCTCAAAGATGGCGGGATCTGAAGGTCGCGCACTCCGTCTGGAGGGGCATAGTTGGTATCGAATGCAGGAAGTTCGTCCCAGTTGGGATATCCGCGCCAAAGAGGATACCCGGCTTTCGGAGTTGGTTCAAGTAATAGGACACCTTATTTTGGAGAATAGTCAGCCTGGGGTCCCTAGCTCGAATCAGTATGCTTACCGATCGTTGATTCCAGGTTCTGCCAGAACGTAGCACGACTGCGCATATGACCAACCTTTGCATCAACTCGACTTTTATCTTGGGAAGGTTCACCTGCAAGCCTTTCCCAAATGGTGGGATCTGGATCCTTATCCCAGAAAATTTGGTTCTTATCCGCATCAAGGCGTCGCATAACATTGAACTCGTTGACTTGCGCTTTGGCTTCTGTCAGCTGGCTTTGATTCTCAAAGTATCGAGAACGGATCAAGCGAAGCTGGAACCACGTCTGTCTTTTTGCATCAACCTGAAGTATTGACGGCTCACGCCATCTATCGCGGATATTGTTCCAGACATAGTCGGTGATATGAGCGCGGAAGAATCGTGGATCGATAGCTAGCTCTGATCCAAGGGTTTCGATCACATCCTGTGAAAGATCCTCGACGACGAATAAGGTGAACTTTACTCCTATTTCAGGAGTTCTCGCCATTGAAATAGCCCTTCTAAGATCCTCAGGCCTACATAGGTGATTGGCTGGGTACTGTTCTGCCTGTCCATCTTTGAATGTCAGTGATGCGACATTCATCTTCGTTGCCCTTTCTTCTTGTTGCTTTCTTCTTTCTTTGATTACAAGGTCAGTGTCGAATTATCTGAGACATTTTGCTGCTCACCTTTTATATCATCATGATATGTATAGCGTCGTTGCTCGTTCTTCTCCTTTTCCTCTCCGGGGAAGATGCACCAGCGCGTGGGTACAGTCCCAACTTCCATGAAGTCATGTAGAAGCTCGAGCTGCGGCCATCTCTTTGATAGACTCTCGACATACTTCAAGTAAGGTCTTCGCTTCGTAGGCCTGTAATATGTCAGTGCTGTTTGGGCTCTGATATGAAGCGGTACCAACGCCTCCCAGTTTTCATCCCCGAGACGAGTTCTAACGTCATCTTTCTTGTTGTCCTGGTATGCGTCTCCAAGCTGTGAGTCGTGCAACCGCATTTTCGGCAATGAGCTGGAGATGAGGTGCTCAAGTTTTGGTGTCTTAGGTCAGTATTCTGACCTGACTTTGCCCTTTTCTATTTGGTATTGCCCATGGGGTATTTGTAATTCACGAAACAAGGCTCTTGTCACCGCATAATGGCAACGCGAAAACAAAGCAACGGGTGCGGGCAATTGACTATTGTGATTGGGGAGGTTAATGAGCAAGTGCCAGCTTCACTGCGCACAAATACGATATGTCTCACTTTTTCCGAACATCACATATGTTGTGTAACCGACCCGCTGATCGCAGCCTACTTGTACCATGCGAGTCGCAACCCGAGTCTCATTTAAAGTTAGCCTACAAGGTGGATGTCCATGCCTAGTGTTCTGAACTGTTAGTTTAGCAAATTTCTCCTAAATAGGCAAATACCAAGGTTGTTAACAAGTCTGATCTCTGAGCACTATTAGGGTCATGCTACGACATCAAATCCTTCAGCTTATGCACGTTGTACCAGGATCTTCGGCGGAGCAGGCTCAGCCGTCCCAAACTTTCAGCCAGGCAGGGTTGCGAGTGGACTGGCCCAGCCGGAAAATGCATGATGACGGTGCATTCGCACATTTCAGGCAGCGATAACAACAATTGATTGTGGCCCAAACTCGGAGCCTGATTCGGTACGTACTCTCTATTCGGAAACAAAGCAACACCGCTATGGAATCTCACCCTTCTATACCAGCACTACTGTAGCCTCTGAAGCCTTCTCCAAGATCAATTCTCCTTCAGTCCTGGTACTGTAAAATCTAGACCTAGTCCAGAAAACGCCAATACCAAGTCTTGTCATACCTTTGTCTTGGCCGTCTCCTTCACCGTCTGGTGCTGGTGTGAGAAGCAATGTAAAATATTCCTTCTGAGGCACTCCTATGACAAAAAGGCACGAGACTGTCGGCATTTCAGCCCCATCAGGAAGTTTGCTATCTAAAAGCGCCTCGCCAAAGATTTCGTCACTGCCCGGAGCTGCAAGAACGTGATGCCGAGAGTCTTGTGTGACAGAGCGCGCTCCCAATGTTGCCTGGAGAATCTTTCCTTTGACTGTCAACCGGGCGACTTTGAGAGGTGATGCCAGCGGAGTTCCTTTCCATTGCAAATTACTCTGTAAAAGCTCAATCATGGAGGCCGTCGGGGTCGTGTGTACGTATCCCTTGATCCCGCCTTTCACAGACAGCCAGGACCATGATGGGATGCTTCCCGGCTCACGGATCACCCCACGCATTTTTGCTTCCCACACAAGTCCGTTTGCAAGATCTTCTTCCCAAAGACCTACCAGGTAGGTATAGCCAGTCAACTTTATGAACATGTCTGTCAGTCCAGCGATGGCATTCCATTTGTCGCTTTGGTAAGTCAGGTCACGACTCGAGTAATTTGTCACCATCCGATACCAGTGTCGCAAATAGTTCTCTCCATCTTCTCCAGGACCTTGCTGCACTATATCAGCCCACTGAATCAGACCACCGTCAAAGTCTCGCGGTCCATCGATCAATCCGTCTTCCGTAGCGTAGCGACTAGGACATTTCCAGAGCCACTGCTCCTTGCCAAAGCAGACAATTCTCGAGGCCAGCACGCCCTCTTGAAGTGTCCAGCCTCTGGTGTTCAAAGGCTCAGACATCCTATCAAGCTCCCTATGCGTCTCCATTCGAACACTCACAGTCTCTCCGTGGATCCTGACGCATTCGGCGCCTTGGAAAGGAAGAAGAAGACCCATCTTTGGGGTATCAGATGACGTAGCTGCGAGCGTAAGATGTGCATTCGTATAAATAGACCCCATTTTGACTGACTCTGCTTCCCAGTCTTGGCGAGAGTCCTGTATAATGCACAGGCCATCGATCCAAAGATATCGGATTCCAAGATAGAGCGTCGCGAGGATAGTCTCCCTTTGCGTCAAAGGCAAGTCGAAGAAGTTAATTCCTTCTTTATGCTTCTCGAGATTCTCATTTGTCGTTTTGAAATGAAGATCCGGATTAGCACCCTAACAGTAGCTTGGAGCGGTGTAAGTTCCCGTTTCCCCCTCCTCTGTCTCTCGTAGTTTGATCTTGATATCATTAGGATCCGATGGAATGTCCACACTTCCACTCAGGTCCAACACGCGCCTCGGAAGCTTTGCTGCCTTGGTATCAGGAAGAGATTCGATGCACTGTTCGTGGGATTCGCATTCCTTCAGCCAGGTTTTTAGCGTATCTTGCCGCTTGAAAGGTTCTGATTCGTCCAGTTCGTCGTGAGGAATCCAGAATCTCCGGGTAGCAAGGCTTCCTATGGAACACGTTAGACACTGGTTCTTTAGTAGTGGTGAGAGCATACCTAGACGGGATGGCGAAGATATTGTCAGAGGTATTCCACCATTCGTGTAAAGTTGCCTGTTTCCAACCCAGCCGACTGCCATGATATATTTCTCATGTTTGGTCAACTCGACAGTAACAGGCCTTGAGAAGTTGTTCTCGTCACATAACTCCGGGTTGCCTCGCTGAAATTCAGCTAGCACTGAGGTGGCACCCCGCTGTATGCTAATTTCCAGCCATTTGCAAGTCGAGCACGTATCGCCTGAGTTAATCAGGTGCATGACATTGGGCTGATGCTCTATAAGTTGTGGTGGATCTGGATGAAGCATGAGTTGACAGTATTTGCAGATTCCATCTGCCGTTGGGCTCGTAAACCCCCACTCATCGGGCGTAGCAGGGGGGCCAGAGACTGGTTCAGCTCTGAGATCCTGAATGTCACTCCCTCGGAGGCCGAAGATAGCGGCCTCCTCTGGTGACTTTTTGCTGAACAACAGCATTGTCTTTGGTGGTGCCGGTTCTTCTGAAGCCATGGTAGGAAATTTGGAAGTGGAAGCGAAACTGACGATAGTTTCATGTCGTCCAACGAGAAGATAGAGCGGCTGGTGGAGTCACGTGACGTAAGCACAACCCCAGACAAATCGTCCTAATTGTGGATTATAACTTGATGCTGCCTGGAATAGGCTGGATAAACGGCTTGGCAATTCCAAACAAGCGGTAGGACTTTGGTCAAGTTGAATAAATAGGCTGTGCAAAGGGTGTGGTAGAGAAAGATGAATCGAGTTTAGTGGGAGCACTACCCTATACCTTAATCCCAAACTCGTAACCCATGAGAACGTGCGGTCTCTCCTTTCCAACATCGCGGGTTGGAAGATAGGGCACACAAATCAGCATGGTGCATAGGCTATTCTGTTTGTACCTGCTTGTATTGGCTGAAGGGGCGTTACATTGTTGTAGCCCGTCATGAAAAACCATCTCACCATCGAATGTAAAGTTACAAATCAATCAGCGTCGAGTAACATCGGCTTTCCGATTGGGTGGTCAATATACCAGCTAGTCAGCAACTATATAAAACAGAAAGACTTCAGGTGTCGGTCAACAAGCTTCTTGAGAGGGTAGGCATAGTGACGGGACCAGAAAAGACTCGAGTTCCGCGGAATGTTGCTGACTGATTGCCGCGCGGCACGATGGTGCAATGTCAGCCCCATCAGTAGCATCCAACTAAGATCTGAGGTCATCTGGATTAATACCCGCGCGGGAAGATATAAATCTATGCATCAAAAAATGAATGATTGTTAATATGTAATTGCTTATTCATCTGACATGGTTGCAACTGTCAGCACATCATGGAAGGATGCGTGCATTGATGAGTATTAAATATGGGCGAGGAGCCAGTCCTCGCACTCAGTGCAGATCCGCGAATACTGTCTACCATGTTTCTGAGTGCCCTCCTAAGTTTCTTGGCTACTGCCTTTCATTCCATCACCTGCGGAATCTTTCTTGAACCGTCACTTGACCCAAAGGCCATGTCTCAAAAGCCAAAGCACATCGTCACCATAGGTGGTTCTTTCGCTTCGGTTAGAACCGCTCATAAGTTTCTCCAAGGAATTCAGAGCAAAAGTGCAGGGCCTTACAAGGTGACAATAATTTCTCGCGATTCTCACTTCTTCTGGAATCTTGCCATGCCCCGCGCCATCATCCCAGGAACCATCTCCGATGATAATCTCTTCCAAGCTATTGCACCTGGATTTGCGAAATACGGCGACAATTTTGAGTTGATCGTTGGTACAGCTACTGGTATTGATTTCAACAATAAGCAAGTCAAGATTTATAAAGCAGGGCAGGAGACTTTCATCAGCTATGATTACCTGCTGATTGGTACTGGATCTTCGACCAAAGCCGAATCACCCTTCAAGTCTAGAGGATCAACTGATGCGACGAGGGACTATGTTAATGCGTATCAGAAACGTGTTGGAGCAGCCCAGCACATTATTGTTGCTGGTGCAGGGCCGACTGGTGTAGAGGTTGCAGGCGAGTTGGCGGATCACTATGGCAACCAGAAGGAGATAACCCTAGTAAGAAAACCCTTCACTTAAGACCAAATCAAGCTGACAAAGTGCATAGATCAATGCCGGTCCAAGTGTCCTTGATAATCGCCCCGACAGCGTCTCCAAGTCCGCACATAGGCAGCTCGAGAAGCTCGGCATCAAGATCAGACTCAACACCAAAGTCAACGAGTCTATCACTCTTCCCAACGGCAAGCAAGAGGTGACCTTCTCAAGCGGCGAAAAGGTTGTGAAAGATCTCGTCATTCAAACATTTGGCGTTGTTCCCAACTCATCTTTCCTCCCGCCTGATCTTCTTGACGAGCACGGCTATATTAAGGTCGATCAATATCTCGCTATCGAGGGCCGAGAGGATGTCTTCGCAATTGGAGACGTGTCAAATGTCGAAGCACCGCAATTCTGGTTCGTGAATACGCAGGCTGGTCATATGGCCAAGAATTTGGTGCAGATAATGCTTGGAAAGCCTATGACTCCGTACAAAGCCTCGACAACTGGTATGTTGTCCCTGACCTAAAATGACAAACAATGCTAATTTTCACAGCAATGGGAGGAATTCAGATCGGCAAATCGGGCGTAGGTCATTATGGAAATTGGCGCATCCCAGGTTTTATGGTCCATGCGATCCGAAAGACGTTGTTTGTCGAGCAATTGCCTAAGATGATTGACAATGGCAATTGAGGCCCCTTTTTTCTTTATTTGCTTTTTCGTTGGAGGTTGGATGTCTTGGAATGACGTGCGAGCTGGAGTTTAGCGTCAGCTCAGGCTAATCTCAGCAATGTCATGGCCCTGATTTGTTATCTTAGCTCCGAAGCTTAGCATTTAGGTTCCACCAAATTAGGCCCTGTACGTCATCGATCGTCCCAAGCTTGTTCCAGGAATAAAATAGGCCAAGACTGCAACCTCGTGCATCTTTTCCCTACCTAATAATTCTTCCATTATTGATTTTCGCGATGTATCACAATCTGCATGCCATTGTGGCTGCAGCTTTACCTGCAATTGCTGTCGCGTCGGTCATTCAGCAGCCAATTGATAGCTTTGATCATACCCAGGGCTATCAATTCGATCCTCTTCTGCACCTCCCGGGCATATCGCCTTATTTCGATGCCGTAGGCTTTGGATTGTCGCACGCTGCACCTGAAGGATGCACGGTTACAGCTGCGTCGTATCTCATCCGACACGCTGCGATTTACGCCAACGACGCTGAGTATGAGGATTACATCAAGCCTTTCCTGTACAAGCTCGAAAAGCATCGCGGTGACTTTTCAGGACCGCTTGAATTTCTGAACAAATGGTACTCACCAATTGAAGAGAATCATCTCGAAGACGTCACGCCCTCAGGCAAGGTCGACGCGAAAAAAGTTGGTCATCACCTTGTGAAGCGCTATCGACACCTAGCGTCATCAGTAAAGCGCGTCATCGCCGATACGAAAGCCAGAACCTACGACACAGCCAAGGCATTTCTCCAAGCGTTCCCCGAAGATGGAAATATCGAGATTACGCGCTTTGACAAGAAGGAATTAAACAACGGCACGCGCGCTCTTCTCCCCCACAAGGCCTGCTTCAAATTCTCCAAATCGCCTGGTACGGAACAGCAGCAGAAGTTTGTCAAGAACTACGCAAGTGGCGTCGCGAAACGCTTACGCCCACATACGCCCGACGATTATGAACTTGATCCCTACGATGTTTTTGCACTTCAATCAATTTGTGGCTACGAATCTGCCATCCGAGGAAAGAAATCCCCAATTTGCGGATTATTTTCTGACGCCGAGTGGCTTTCGTATGAATATGCCTGGGATATGAAATATGCTCACATGGTCGGGCCTTTCAATCCCCTGTCGAATTACTTGGGTTTCCCATGGTTGCACTCACAGTCTAGGCTTTTCAGCAAAATCGACGAAAATTCTGAATTGATTGGTGATGAATCATCAGGATGGCCTAAAGAACAACGACTATTCTTCTACTTCACCCACCGCGAGGTCCCTCCATTCGTCGCTACAGCTCTAGGAATTTTCAACTCGTCTTCCCGCGAAGGATACGATGAATTCCCCACTACACACGTCAACCACGTTCGAGCTTGGAAAATGTCCGATCTTATTCCGTTCTTGGGCCATGTTGGTATGGAGAAGATGACGTGTGAGAGGCCAGTTGCTAAAGATGGCACATCCGAGAAAGAGGAGTTTATCAGATTTATTGCAAACACTGCGCCTCGACCCTTGCCTTTGTGTCAGAACGGACCCGGTGCAAGTTGTCCATTCGAGGAGTTTAAGAAGATTGTTAGTGCAGGCATGGAGAAATATGGGGATTTTGATGGCGTTTGTGAGAACAAACAAGAGAAGGATGACGAGCTGTAATGCGATAACACTGCGGTAAAATAGAACAGATTGTACAATACTAATGATTTCCGTTAACTGCGTGCCTTCTATGTGAATGTAACCTTGATAACCCGGATCCAGTTGTTGTTGGTGAAACCAATCGTCAGCGTCTCGCCAGATTCGTCCAGATGCGGGTACGCTATTCCAGCATACACCAGACCTCCATCGATAGGCTCATCCTTGTAAATCTCTTTACCTTCCGTCCAGGAGCCTTCAGGACTTGGTGCCGTCTTCAAAAACACAGTACCAGCTGTCGCAACCACGTCAGCGGGGCATTTACCACCATATGAGAGTGCACTTACAAAGATCAAGGTGAACGTAAAAGTACGTCTGGAAGTGGTTGTTGTACACAATCTGTCCTTGTCCAACACCCCACATAACAGCTGTCTCACAACTGAACGTTGTGAGAACTTCGCTCTTCCATCCTTCTTGTCTACCCCACCAATACTCATACTTGTCGAGGTCGAAGGCATCTTTTGCGGGGACGCGAGCCATATAGATGTACAGCTTACCAGGAAAATCCGTGATTGTATTGGGTGGGTTTCCGAGGATGTAAATATATTCGCTGTTGACGTCTCGATACGTTGCGACATCGCCGTATTTGGGTACCTCGTCACCATTCCACCAGATACCATGCTCGCCGTAGCGATCGGTAATATGTGGGACGTCGTCGATGAGCTCAACTTTGGCTACTCCAGCGCCCTTATAATTCTCATCGTCATTCTAGAGAGCTTTAGGTCAACAAACTTTCGTGTAGGGACTGGTACAACTTACAACGAGATAATAAAGAGCACCAGTCGCAGTATCAGGATCAACCTCGACGATTCCCGTCCCTCCAAAGCCAAAAGTATTCGTCTCGCCCCAGTCCTCATTGAATGGCATAAACTGCTTCTGATGAGGAACCGGCTCATCGTCATTGAGATGCAGGTCTTCAACTACAAGAGGATCATCCGTCAGAGCAGAAACAGCATTTCTGACCATGCCGTGAAATCCCTCATTATCTTCTTCGGGGTCGGTGACACCAGCATCACACCATAGTACATCACCATAAACAGCGTACCATTTCCCTCCGAGTTGACCTGTAAAGCCAAGATCGCGACGACTCGCCGTGTTGCTAGACTTTTGGGTACCGAGAAATTCCACCTGAATGTCGCCGATGGGGTTCTCACCTTCTGGTTGAGTATTGTCGACAGTCATTATATCTGAAAAGTATCGTTTGTACAGAATGTTTCCCAGTATAAAGAATAACAGCGTCTGACAGTAGCGATCTTTTATCTTGACGTGTCTCTTCATGGTAAACTTGGCATCTCCATCTCCAAAGAGGGGGTCTAGCTGTTGCCGAGGCTCATGTGCCAATGCCAATGTGATCGGCACGGCGTATCCGATGAAAACCTGTCTTGAAGTGTTGCAGGATCGAGGCGCATATAAATGCCAAGTTTCTACGATCTTTAATTCAGCTTAGGGTAGATACAGGATAGTGCCAAACGTGAAGCTCCTGATAAGATAGGCGAGGTGCGTTTTGTGGTTTTTGGTTTTGACGATGACGAAACGGCCCCGCAGCCGGGAGTGGCGCCGCGACCCGCTACAATAAGCCTAGGGCGTCATCTAACGAACTATACAAAATAATTCTTCATTATCAGATGAACTATATCGTACGTGCATATGCAACTGTGCTTCTAACAGTACGTAACCTTTAATGAAATCTACCTCGTTGATACTCAACGTTGAAACTGTATCACTGGCCTATCAAGTCCCACTCAGCGCAAAAATTGGATCGTTGCCTCCAAAATCCACTTCGACGGCGATGAGACCCAATTATCTAATTATTTTTATGTAATTCTCGATGAGAACTCTCCCGGCTCGGCGGTACTCGGCCATACAGAGATTTCGATCTGAATCACCAAAGGGCAAAGCTCTCACAATTGATTCTCTCAAAGAAAGGGTCTTCATGCTATGAAACCTGGGGTAGTGCCGCTGCTGCATGGTCCACCATCAGCACAGCAGCAGCACTATAGGGCTGATCTTCCTGCACTCAAAACCTGGAAAACTCTCTTTCTGCAGGTACAAGATTGCCGATGGGTCCTTACGGAAACTAGCTCTCATAATCCCCATCAATAGCCCCCTTTAGTATGGTTTCACTGGTGATCGAGCCAGGGAAAGGACGAGTTAATCGAGCACGCAATCGCACGCAATACAATTCGTAGAGACATATAATAGAATAAATGAATCGCCTATTCTCTAATCTTCAAGTCCTTTCTCACTTCTTGCCTGCTGGCTACTTCTCAAAATGGCCTCTTCGCACGATGGCTCCGTCATCAACCTCCCAACCGCCTCCCCCACAAAACCATCCTTCTTCCGCTCAATCCCCTTCCAGATCGCCATAGCATGCGGTGTATCTTTCACAGCACCCGGAATGTGGGACGCCCTCGGTGGTCTCGGCGCCGGAGGTGCAGCTGAACCCTACGCCGTATCAGCCGCCAACGCGCTTGTATACGGGTTATTCGCAGCTGTTTGTATAGCAGCTGGTGCGATTAACAACAGAATCGGTTTGCGATATGGCCTTGCGCTGGGAGCTATTGGATATCCGATTTATGGCGCGGGTCTTTATACGAATAATGTTGCGCCCAAGACGTGGTTTTTGCTGTTTGGAAGTGCACTTTGTGGTATTTCGGCGGGTTTCTTCTGGGCGGCCGAGGCAGCCATTATTATTGGATATCCTAGTCCCAAGGATCGTGCATTTTATCTTGGTAAGTTCTGATTTCTGGGATAGAATTCTTTAGCATGAACTGATGAGGGATAGCTACTTGGCAAACTGCCAAGGCAGCAGGCCCAATTGTCGGAGGCGCCATCAATCTTGGTCTCAACGCACAAACCTCATCGAAAGGATCCGTAAGCTCAGCGACATACATCGTCTTTATCGTCATCATGTGTCTCGGTCTGCCCATAGCCCTGCTTCTGAGCCCTGCGGACAAGGTTCAGCGAAAAGACCGCACGCTCGTCGTCGTTCATAAGCAACCCTCCTGGTTCGCCGAGTTCAAGGCTGTTCTGTCGCTTCTCGTCACCAAGCGCATGCTTTTGTTGATCCCTGCTTTCTTCATCAGCTACTTCTACAATGGCTTCATGAGCACTTGGTTGACGACATACTTCACCGTCCGTGCTCGCGCTTTTTCGTCCTTCTTCACCAACTTCTCCGGTATTATCAGTTCGTTCCTGATCGCTGGTTTACTGGATCGTCAGTCCATCTTTATCAAAACTCGTGCTAGAATTGCGTTTGCTTCCATTATCTTCATTCTGATTGGTACATGGATCTGGGCTTCCATTCTCCAGAAGCAATTCTACGATGCTGAGGAGCCGCCTGTCTTTGATTGGTTTAAGGGCGGTTTCGGCAAGGCTTATACCCTCATCTTCTTCTGGCAATTCGGAGGCCAAGCGTTCCAACAGTTCTTGTACTGGCTTGTTGGACAGTACACCACTGACATTTCGTCTTTGTCTTATCACTGTGGTATCCTCCGAGGATTTGAGGCTCTCGGTCAAACCGTTGCCTGGGCGTAAGTACCATCTTATTGTCTTTATTGAAATAGACTAACAAAAAATAGTATGCAATCTGAAGGCAACGCCAACCATTTTGTCAGCATTGGTCTCAACTTTGGAATCACTATTCTGTGTATCGTGCCAACATGGATCGTGTTATCTGGACTGGAGCACAGCCACGAGATCACAGTCACAGCTGATGAGGTGTCTTCAACAAAAGATCAAGATCCTGATACCAAAGCATAGGTTTTAACATGATATTCTATAATAATAATATCTTTCAACAAGAAATAAATTCCATAAACTCCCATCTAGCTAGTGATACAAAGAAGCAGGTCTCGGTCTGGGACTTGTACTCGACCTCGGTCTCGTCACAGCAGGCGGTGGCGGTGATATAGGCATTGACGTAGATCTCCCAACGCCTTGCACAGATGTGTCGCTACCTATAAAGCTGCCAGGCCTTGACCGTACGGGACTCAACTCATCGTCTTGGTGTTGGTCTCTCTCGATCTCAATAGCAGATACGCCTAAATTCCGAAATTCTTCCCCTGGTATCATCGGTAGATCAACACGATCTGCTCTTTTGACTTTCGGCTCGGTAATAAAATCATGCGCTGGGGTCCCAACCATCTCGCCGAATCTGAAAAATGCATTCTCTATTTTCTGTCGGTAGGGGTTGCGGGGGGGTTGATTGTGGTCTTCGAAAACTGAAGGGTCTCGATGTCGAGATGATGTAGAGGGGCGGGGATGAGTTGGATCAAGGTGCGGTGACAATTGGTTGTTTGTTTGTGTATTGGTGTTTGTGACAGTCAACGCTATGTGATGGCTGTTGAGTGAAGATATACTCTCTTGGTGAGAGACTTGGCTTCGTTCGTCGTTGAAATGGCAATGAGAACAATTGCAGTGATGAGATGGATATGGTTCGCCTGCTTTGTCGGCGTGTCTTGCTAGAAGGAGATAAAGCGAGCCGATCATGGCCATCGCAGTACCTGTGATGGGTGCCCATTGGCCTTTGATACATCAAGTATTAGTAAATAGGCACTGGAAAAAAGTGAGGGGATATGCTTACCAATATTGGCCATTGGCTCAGTCTGGTAATTGACTTGAGGGCTGAAAAAGTTAATCTCACCCACGATAAGAATAGCCAAACCAGCGCCACCAAAAACGGGGATCGCTAGGATACGGAGAAAAAAGCCAATAGTATCGTTGACTTTCTTCATAACACCTTTATTGGCGCTTTCATCATCTTCGCTTGCCGCGTCGTCGGTCGGTTTTCCGAATCTGCGGCGCCAATTGATCTCAAGTACTCTATCCCACATGGAAATAAGACACAGAACGGCGTGCACACAACATGCGGCGGCGAGTAAAGTCGCGGTGCCGAACGTGAGGGTATGCGGTGCTGGTATGACGTAGATATTGTTCGCGGATCCGCCTCTCATTGGAGACGAAGGCCCGTTCTGTGTTGAACAGGTCAGGTTACAGTTGTTTCCTTCGATATAGTGAAAGTTGGAGGCGTTTGGTGAGACTGGATTGCCTGATGCGTCGATTAAACAGGAGTGAGTTTCGATGCGGTAAAACTCGATTGTCATGCTCAAAAGACCTAATCTCGGTTTAGACAATAGGGACGCTCTTGTCAAGGTTCAACTTACCGATCAGTAACAGAAATGTCCACAGAAAAATAGTGTTTCTACCGGGATCATTAAAGTAAGTCTTTGACAGCATGACCGTTACTGGTGCTGCCAAGATACCAATCGCGCAAAGCTGGAAAGCACCAAAAATATCCATATCGACTGCATCTTGACCAATTGTTAGATACGTAAAGTTATCAATTGCGTTTGTTGCTCACCAGGATTGTGCATTGCCGTCAGGACTATGCCGTGAATGGCGGCAACAGCTGGCAGCACTAACGCAGCGGCCAAACAAGGATTCACCAGCCATTCCTCTCTCCTTGCGACAAGACATGCGGCGATGAGAACATAGTATCTAAATAATTGTTAGTTTTATATCAGTTGATTGTGATTGAACTTACAAAACTCGAGTCCCCGTTCCGTATTGTCCAGAAACTGGCCACGCGCAAATAACCTGCAGCGCATCACCAGTCTCATTCACAGCCCGCAAAAAAAGAACACTAGTCGCTATTGACTCAGCCGCATCGGTGACTGAAAGCGCAGGCATATCGACATTCTGTCTTGGCAGAGTGGGATTCGTGGGGAAGAAGAGAAAAGCCAAGTCAGCCCAAATTGTGGGGGAATAACAAGATCTTAGCAGAAGCTTCTTTTTTATTTAATGCCCGCATGTTCAACGATGAGGCCGGCCTTACCATAAACGTAACAGGGGAGTCATTACTGGCCAGGCTTCTACATTTCGAGTGGTGAGCATTCAGCTGACATGTTGGCACAGCCACAAAGATCACTTAAGCCGGGCGAGGACTGGGGGCCACGGGCGCTTTGTTCTTGGGCTAGGAGGCGTAGAGTAGTCTCTTCTAAGCATAGCTCGGGTTGCATACTACATTTGCGTTAGGCACCAACAAATGTACCCTGTCACGGGAACGAACAAGGAACGAACGAAAGCTTCTAGAAAACTTTTCTTTCTTCTCTCTCCCTTCTTTTTCTGGTCTGAGGTTAGCCCTGTTTTTTGTTTCAGCCAGCGATCCAAGGGCAGAAGGTCATCGAACTGAAGCTACTGTCGGTCCTTTACCTCAAAACATGCTGACACTACGGCATTCCCCCTCCTCTCAATTGGCCAGCCACTTGTCGTAATACTCTCCACTTTAGATACGACCCACATTCGTCGTCAGGTTTTCGCTGTATTTAACCAGAGAGTGCCACTTTTGGCCTTTGAAGAAAATCGAGTTGAATCCCTCCCTCAGCCGAAATCATGGTCAAAGGCGTGGACACCAGCATGATACGACAATGGCGCTCAATAGTAACGCTGATAGTCTTTGTACTCGCCAGTAAGAAATGCCCTCTCACAGGATACACAGCGTGCACTGACCCGGTTTCTACAGATATTCTCGTCCTATGGCCATTTCACATGCCCATTTACATTCCAAAATCCCTCGTCAATCTGATATGCAGATTAGCGGTCAAACTGCGAGTTATTCCCAGGAGCACGCATCGTGCGATTCTTCATGATAATCCACGATGTTCGAAATATTTTGTCAAAGTCACTTTTCCCGTCAACTTCATCACTGCGCCTTTGATTGCGGATCTCTTTCTACTAGCTATTTCTGCGATAGGACGCCAAGAGGTTTACGATGGGACGATAGGCGCTGATAATATCCACCCGATTGATATCATGGTCTTCTTCATCACTCTGGCTTACATCGCCATTTCCATCGACGCATCGGGTATTATCCGATGGCTGGCTTTCAAAGTGTTGTCGTGGGGAGGAAAAGTTGGCCATCGACTCTTCTTCTACCTTTACTCCTTCTTCTTCCTTCTCGGCAGCTTCATCGGCAATGATCCCATTATTTTATCCGGAACGGCATTCCTCGCGTACATGACGCGCGTGTCGAGCAACATCACGAGTCCGCGAGCATGGATCTTTACTCAATTCGCAGTCGCCAACATCGCCTCAGCAATTCTCGTCTCGTCAAACCCGACGAACCTCGTCCTCGCTGGCGCCTTCGACATCAAGTTCATCGTCTACACCGCCAACATGATAGTCCCCGTCGTCGTCACCGCCGTTGTCCTCTTCCCGTTTCTGCTCTACGTCATTTTCGCTGACGAAAAGCTTATCCCTTCCAAGATTGAGATGCACAGCTTACCAGAAGAGGCTAGAGCCCAACGGCCCGTGAACCCCAACATCCCCTACGTTCAGCACCAAGTTGAGGATGCCGAAAGTGCAGGCGAGGGGATGACGCTGTCACTTGCGTACATCATGAATCCTTTTCTGGATAAAAAGGGCGCCATGTTTGGTGCGCTCATCATGTCTGCGACGCTCATCACTGTTCTGGCTCTCAACGCTGCTAGTGCCGGAAGTGGAGAGCATCCTGTTTTTTGGGTGACTCTTCCAGCGGCCTTCGTTATGTTCTGTTGGGATTTAGGCTTTGGGTGGTTGCATCGCAAGGAGACGCGGCAGACTGCCACTCATTATCGCCGAGAGATGGAGCGTGCCAGAGCTGAACGTGCCCGATTTACAGCGGAATATGCTGGCATTTCACAGGATAAGTCTGAACCCGATACCGACACAGTAACTGGTCTTCCTGATAACCAGGCCTCGGACGATTATGGCCAGTCTCACGGAATTTCCCTCACTCCTTTACAGACCTCCAATGACCAGCCCAACTCACATTCTATCCCCAAGGTGGTTTTATCAAACACGGCCGGCAACAGTCCTGTCATCATCTCAGGGTCAATGCCTCAATCACCCAGCTCTGGACCTTCGTCACCAAGCGACCAAAACACACTGCGCCCCGGAGCTTTGTCCACCTTACCAAGTCCTCAAATGGAACCAGAGAAGCTTGAGGCTGCTCGACCCATGAAAACAGAACCCGAGGAAAGATCAACTCTTCTATCCGAGGCTAGAAAAGGTTATGCGTCACTTGAAAGGGCTTATGGGTGGCTGCAAGAAACGTTCCCAACAGTCATGGCCGTCATGGCTCATCTTCCGTTCGCACTGGTGCCCTTTGCCTTCGCCATGTTTGTACTAGTCCAGGCACTAGTTAGCAAGGGATGGGTCAACGTCTTTGCCTATGGTTGGTATCATTGGTCCAAGCGTACTGGCACAGTTGGAAGTATCGGAGGAATGGGCTTTCTCTCATGTGTTTTGTCCAATGTGAGTTTCCCCCCAATCGTCTTAAATCGCGACAAGGTACTGACTCCATTCAGTTCTCTGGTACCAACATTGGCACCACTATCCTGCTATCACGCATCATCCAAGCATGGAAAGAGATCAACTGCCATGACGCCCAACTCATCAGCGACAGAACATACTGGGGAACCATCTACAGTATGGCCGTCGGAGTCAACTACGGAGCTTTCAGTACCGCATTCAGCGCATCATTGGCCGGTCTTCTCTGGAGAGATATTCTTGCTCGAAAGCACATTCACGTGAAGAGTCACGAATTCGCCCGCGTCAACTTTCCTATCATCGCAATTTCAATGGCTGTTGGCTGTCTGATATTGGTGGGGGAGGTCTACATCGTGAGAGATAACTCACCATACTCCACATTTGAAAAGGCTTGCCCGAACAATTAATTAATAAAGGAACCTATAGATATCATAATTATAGACTGTACATAGCAATCTGAAAATACCCATGAAATAGCTTCCCCTGCTGTTAATAGGCGACAGTTGAGCCCTGACCTGGCTCTAACCTCCAGATTTACGATCTTTGCGCAGGCGCTCCAAAACCCAATCCAAGCTACGAAATCCACTATCAGTCTCAGCCCAGGATGGTGCACTCCAACTGGCTGTCTCAGCGTTATATGACTTAAGAAGACTCATCACCTCGGTCGTGTTCTCATTCGTGGCCTTCAAAATCTTATTCACAACCTTGTCATCGTCCAAATCTGCTTCTTTCAAAGCTGGAAGGTTTTCTGGGAAATAGTGTCTTCTGTAAACCAGGTCCAACGCCGTTCGGCCATAGTGATCCGGAATACTTGGGCTTGCGCCGTACTCGAGAAGTCGCTTCACGGCGAAATAGTTGCCAGATTCGGCGGCTACTGCTATTGCAGTCATCTTGTATGGTCCCGCTGTGTTGTCAAGCTGGTCTTGAGTGTTGTACTTCCGAAGGAGTTCGACAATCGCGATTCCAGCGACCTCGTTGTCTTCGGCGAATTCCCCCATGTACTTGATAGTAAAGTGGAATAATGAAAACGTGTCATGGCCGACGTTGACCATGAATCCATCGGAGCCATTGCGGTCCGGAAGACTGAGTAAGAACTTGACTCGATGGAGGGCATTCCTAGTACCCGTTAAGAGCATGTCTGACATTATGCTCTTCCCCGCAGACGTAGAAATGCGGTCTCTATCCGCGCCATGATCGAAGAGATACTGTGCAACAGTAAGATTTCCACTGTAAGTGGCAACGTAGAAAGCGCTCAAAGGCTCTGGCGTGGTCGGATCGACTGGGAGGCCCTTTTCTAGAAGTTTCTCAACAAAGAAGACGTCATCTGTCTCTTTTGCAGCACGGTGAAGCGCGTTGAGACCATCATCATCTACCGCATCGATATCTGCACCGGCGTCGATAAGAGCCTTGAACATATCGCGGTCTCCATGCGTAATCGCCAGAAACAGAGCTGAACCTCCACTGGATATTCTTCCAAAGGTAGCGTTGATCTCATTCGCGAAGCCGAACTCAAGGCCTGAGATCATAAGATCTGCCGCGCATTGATGGTACGCCGTTGCAAGCACGGCTGCCATCTTGACATGGCTCCCGAGTTGCAAGACAGAATCTGTGGGTGCGCCTTTCTCGATTAGGGCTTTCATTGTCTTCTTTGTCTCCAATTCAAAGTCGACACCTAATGTCAACACCCGTTGCCAACGAGGGGTTCCGGATATAACATGGAAAAGAGGCAAATACATTAGTTCACCTCCACCTACCATTGGTTTTACCTTGCTGGCTTCCAGCTGAACTGACGGCTCTTGTAGAAGCCGTTCAACAACTGGTGAGTAACAAAGTCCACATGCAAGCTCAAGTGGTGAGAGGTGCGACGCCTCCCCATCCCCTACCTCCATACAGAACGTTGGATCTGCACCCAGTTGGAGGAGAACATCCACTGCAGTGAGTCTTTTCTGTGTGATAGCCCAGTGCAAAGGGGTGTGAGACAGAATCCCATTGTCGTCAACCCTTATTCCATATTGGGTGCGTAATATTACACAAGCAGGGGAGTTTAGCTCGGCGCCTTTGCTGACCAGAAGTTTTGCGATGGTTTCATGGTCTTCGTCTTCGAAGGAGCAGAGCCAGTGAAGAGGCGTTATACCTCTTTCGTCCGCGATCTGTGCAGCAATCCCACAGCTGGGGTGCTGCAATATCGTCTCTAGAATGCGTTTTCGGCCAAGGCGAGCCGCGACGAGTAAAGGGGTCTCCTCATTCTGCAGGACTAATTGGGCCAAGCCACGATTTTGATCTAGACAGATAGTCATCACATCTGGCTTGTCCAAAACGATACTCCATAAAAGCAGATCTCTGGAGAAGACGAACTCGACTTCACTCAAAGACAAGGCTTCCAACATTGAAGACAAGTCCTCACACGCATCAGCATTGACACCGAGACGAGTTAGTTCATCGAGCTGAAGCTTCTGCTTAGCTTGTCGCCAGTCGGAAGGCCAGTTCGCTTTCAGTTTCTGAAGAGCAACTGGGTTCCCGGCTTGGGCGGACTCGGCAACCCAGGTACGTAGTATCTCTTCATCTGGAACCTCTTGGTCAGGAACGTGAGAGAACACAGATATATAGAGAGTTCTAGCCTCTTCGGAACCGAGCTGGGCTGCTTGACGAACATAATAAGCTGCCGACTTTGAATCGTACTCAACTCCTATATCGTCCATATAGGCACTAGCAAGGTTGAGGGCGGCTCGAGCTCTTTCGTTCAGACTGGTGGATGTCTCAAAGATAGTCTTCAGACTATTGAAAAGGGCGACCCGGGCAGCCTTTGGCGTCTTTTGCAAGATGTGTGAGCTTTTCTTAATCTTGATTGAGTTAGTTCCACTGTCGATCTCTGCGTTGGTATTGTAACATACATCAGGGATGAAGTCTTCGTCTTTGAAAAGCTGCATTGGTTCCGCTTTCGATTTGGTTGTAACCCTATCCATGAATTAGCGTAGCGCCACAGGGCTGAATACAGGGGCTGAACACAAGCTGTGGGCCATATTGCACGGTAAGGAAAGGTACTGACAATGAAAACAATTCGGTATTGAATGGCTCATTCAGAAGTCCAGCACAGTCCAAGATAAGTAAACAGGCATTCACAGCAGATACAGGCTGAGCTTCGCTCGTTCCACTTGGGGTTGCCTCCCTGGGTAAGAGTTGCGATATGGTTGGTAAGAGCTCTGACATCGTCTTCTCAAGTCTCGATTTCGAGATTCCCTGGAGCGCAGCGATAAAGGGAGTTTCGTCCTGGCTAAATGATGAATAGTAACGCTCATGTGCCTTTGGCAAGAAGTGAGTCATCATATTACATATCTGCCATGGATCAATGCTTGCAGGATTGTTCTGAAGACCGAGCTCCTGGCGTAGATATGCAAAGACCACAGTAGTGAGGCCTTTGAGAATCGTCCTTTCGGATCTCTCATCATCATTCGTGGGGATCTTGGCCCTATACACAATGCTCTCGAAGGTAGGAAGGACAGCTCTTAGAGCGCTAGCATTTGGACTATCACGCCCATCCGTACTGTTGACGAGAGACTTTGTCACGTCGAGATGATCGATAATTTTGGACATGCTTGAGAATCGTTTCTCCGGGGCGCACTGTAAGCATGTGAGAATGAGTTTCGCAAGTGTCATGAGTGGATATTTCTCGTTTCGCAAGCGATGTAAGACATTGAAAGTAGCAAGGCTCGCTATGAGGTTGGTCTTTTTAAGTTTCCAGATACTCTCCAGCTTATCGCCGTCGGGTAAAGTGCTGTGGTAAGCCACTCCATCACCAAGGATGGTCCATAGCGTCAAGCCGAAAGAGTAGATGTCTTGTTGACGAAGGTAGCGGCTGTTAAAATGTGCTGTCTCTCCTTCAGGTGCACGGTAAACCTCGGTACTTCCGATGAGCTGGCCTCCTTGCATTGGCATCGCAAACCCAAAGTCGCTGACTTTGACAATGGTCTTTTTGGTTGGGTGTTTGAAGACGAGAAGATTAGAAGGCTTGACATCGCCATGGACAATTCCTGCTTCGTGAAGGCCTTCAAGACCCCTGGCCGCGTCGATAGCAATGTCTAGCTTCTCGTGCAGCGACCGTGCGTAGCCTGCTTCTTGATATGACTTGAGATTTCCATACTCGGCATATTCAAGGACCAGAGCGGGAACAACAGTTATTCCCTCCTTGTTTCCGGTATCATGATACATGATAGCTAAAAAGTCGACAATATTCTCGTGTTTCTTGACAGGAGGGTGCCGCAAGATCTGTAGTTCCAAAGCGATGTCGGCAAATGACACAGAACCATCATCTTGCGTTCTTGGATGTTTAACAGCGACATATTTGCAGCCTTTCAAGATCTCCGTACCCAGACCAATCGGAAAGGAAGACGCTTTGACCTTTCGAACATCGAACGAGCCACCACCGAGCGATACATCTCGAAATGTGGGGGCGGCATTCGATATCACAGGCTGCAGGCCTATATCGTTATCACCATTTGCGAAAGACACTGCTATAAACCCCGCAAAGTGAGGGCAGTGAGTCCCAGGAGATGGGACGGGAATAGGATCTTCACTAGTGGATTCCTGGGTATCTTGAGGCTGTGGCCGAAAGGTGAACGCTGAGGAGAACTCCATTTTGATTATTCTACAGGATGAAAAACATGCAACATGTCGTAAATCGCTCGAGCCTGATATCATGATTCTGAGGTGACACATGACCTCAGCTTGCAGGTCTTCACCGGATTATCAATTTACCCCGCTACGGAAGTGCCTAAACCCCGCAGCTGATGTGATGCGGCTCAAGTATCATGTTCCCGGTATTATTCTTGAAACCATCAAAAGTCCGACGTGTCTGTTTGGTGACTGGTCCAAGACCGTCATGGTAAGCGATTTAGTGGATTTCCGGGTTGGGGCGGCCGGTCTCGGAATCGGGGCATTTGGTGGCCTGATAGACGCCTTGACAGCCTGCACAAAAATTTATGGCCTATGGAAATCGTTACGTGGTCTCGATGGATATCTGGACCTTCTCCGTACTAAGCTTATACTCCAAGAAGCTTTGTTAGACCAGTGGCAGAGAAACTGGCTTGATCTACCAACCTCTAAGCGAATCGATATTCAGAAGCAACGGATCCTTCAGAGGCACAAAGATGCTGTTCTCGCCTCGTTAACAACAGTCAAAATGCTGCTTGAGTCACTGGAAACACTTCGTGAGGCCTCGAGCTCAGAACTTGCACTCGAGCGCCTGAAATTGGTGACTGGTGGGGCTCAAGAACATGATAGGACGCTGGTGCAGATAAGCGCAGTCCTCAGCGACTTGTATCGCTTGCTACCAACTCGAGATCCCAACCTCGCACTTTCACAGACTGTGCTGTCATTAGAGCATATCGGCAATAATCAGCAGGTGTTGTTCCGGGACACCAATTCGACTCAACATGTGATACAACCTGATCAACTCAAACGAGCCATCAACTTCCGCCAACTGGGATACGATCTGGATCAGGATCTGGAAAAACGAGTCGCAGCATTTAAAAGCAGTTCTGGTGATTCTGACGTCACCATTCGCTCAGAAAGAGTCAGAATTCAGAAAGATGACGATGTTGCTGGAGGACTAAGAAGCTTTGGAACACTTGACTCCAAGACATCTATAGTCATTGAGTGGAAACGGTACGACGTTAGCTGGAAAGGACAGAAAGGGATCAGACTCAGAGGAAGAATCCAGAATATTGCGCGGCTCTTGCACGCTAATGCAAAGCCCGAAGAACTCCTGACTCTCAACTGTCTGGGAGTGTTTGAAGACATCGAGAGGAATCGGTATGGCCTGATTTTTAAATACCCTCTAGGAGCCAGTGAACAAACAGATCTGGTATCTCTTCAAGCGTTGATCAAATCACCAACGCCTGAGACTCTACCAACTTTGGGTGACCGATATCGTATGGCGTATACGCTATCACTCTCACTGGCCATCCTTCACGCGGCGGGATGGCTCCATAAGAGTATCAGAAGCCATAATATCATGATTCCAGTGCGGCGCAATCAGCCCATCTGGTCTCAGCCATACCTCGTCGGCTTTGAATTCTCCCGTCCAGATGCAGTCGATGAGACCACCGAAAAGCCCGAGCAGAGCGTCCGCTTCAATCTATATCGTCATCCTTTCGCACAAGGTATTCCAGGGGAATCATACCGCAAGGGCTTTGACATCTACAGTCTGGGCGTCGTCCTTCTCGAAGTTGGTCTATGGCGCGTAGCATGGAGTCTACGTCGCGACGACGAAAATCCCGCCAAGTTCAAGGAAGTGTTGCTGAGCAGGGTAGACGACAGACTAGCTCACTTCATGGGGACAGAGTATCAAGAGGCGGTAAGGAGTTGCCTGAACGGTGATTTGGATCACAGGGAGGGATCGGTAATACGAGCTTTCTACAATGAGGTTGCGGAAACTATGTGCTCATTGGCGGAGTCACAGCCATAGTGATTGCAGCATCTCTTATCTGCTATAGCCTAAGAATGATAATAATGTAGGACTTTTTGCACTTGTCTAAGGTTAGCTTGGTTTTGGGGACTTTGTTAGTGCTGTGTTGTATCCAAGCGTTGAGCTTGGCACATCCCTGTATGTCGTCCGAGGTTCTGACAGGGGTAATGAGAGACCTCGGCAATGATGTCACTAGCTACCCTGAATAGTCGGTAAGGTATGAATTCTCGTGAACATTAAGCATGATTTAAAGAATAGCCGATGGGATTTATCGTGTGAATAAATCCAGGTCATGTAACTATTTCTTGTTGCTGGTGGCTGAAGAATGTTGCTGGCATGACCTTGTTGAAGCCTGATCTTCAGCGTCTGGTAGTGAAGTAAATCGCTCTTGGCGCACGGCCTTCAAAATGATCTACATAGAAGCTTCGAAGCGACTCGTCCGGGGTCAAGAGGCCATCAACGCATGACTTAATGTTATCTACTCCGTAGGGCCAAAGAAGCAATGCCGTCCAACACCCACTAACCCACGCGACTAAGAGCGGATAAGGCATGATCTGCAGGGGTATCCGCATCACGAAATCTAACTTGTTCATTACGCTTATCGTAACCGCCGCGTCGACCAATAGCATCACCTTCTGGCAACCCCTACTCGTTTTAGGATGGTTATGTCCTGAGAGTTCACATGATAAACTAACCAATAGTTCCTTCACAAAAGCAGTTTAATCACGGATAGATCCTAGGTCTCAGCTGCACCCATAACAAACGTCCCTCCGCCTCTATTGCCGAGTCCCGATCCAACTCCCTATCAGGGCCTTAGCAATGCCGAATTCTCCGGACATAGTCGGCGGTAGCATCCCTTCTCGGTAGGTGCTTAAGCCAAGACTGGTGATGCCCCCCTGTCGCGACACGGCGGAACTGCTCGTTGTTTACTAGGCGTGTGAGTTCCGCTCCTGCAATCACGATGCCTAGAAAAGACCTTTTGCTAGGTAAAGGGGTCGCTGGGGCTTTGGTGGGACAACCACCTCATGGCCGCCACGATTCATGGAAGCAGCCAAGAAGCCAAACAGATGCCAAGGACGGGAGGCTGCATAGACAGATCAGCCAAGGAATCTAGGTCCGGCATCTATGGCGCGGATCAAAGGGACTAATCACGTCAGAGATGTACCTCTTTCTCGGAAGGTGGCTCGGATGCTGGAAGCCGAGCGAGAGATAGATGAAGCATCGCCAAATGGAGACATGGCGGAATGTCTCTATCAATGTCAGACTCCTTTGAGTCAGTAAAGATATATAAGTCGAGATAGAAACTATTCATCTTAGAAATAAATCATCATCACTCACTCACTCACTCTTCTCTGGTCTCATCTCTATCTCTTAACCTGCCAGCGACATCACGATGCCTTCCATCCACGCTCTTCTCACGGCCTCTCTGGCTTTTGCTTCCATTGCCCTCGGCGCACCTGCTGCCCAGGACAAGAAGTTCACAGTTGAACAAGTCAAGAACCCCAAGTTCATCAAGAACGGTCCTCTCGCTCTCGCCCACGTCTACGCCAAGTACGGCGTTCCTCTTCCCAAAGGACTCGAGAAGGCTGTCAAGGCCGTGAGGCCTCCTCAAGCTCACTCCAAGCGTCAGAGTGGCAGTGGTAGCGCCACCACGACTCCCTCCGACGAGGACGTCGAGTGGTTGACACCCGTCCAAATCGGTACTCCTGCTCAGACCTTCAACTTGGACTTCGACACTGGCTCTTCTGATCTCTGGGTCTTCAGCACTGAGACAACTGGTAGCAGCGGTCATGATGAGTATAACCCTGCCAAGAGCAGCACAGCCAAGAAGCTTTCTGGCGCTACATGGAAGATCAGCTATGGTGACGGAAGCTCTTCCTCTGGAGATGTCTACAAGGACAAGGTCTCCGTCGGTGGCCTCGTTGTTAGCTCTCAGGCCGTTGAGGCCGCCCAAAAGGTCTCCTCCGAGTTCGAGCAAGAGACTGGCCTCGATGGTCTCCTCGGTCTTGGCTTCAGCTCCATCAACACCGTCACGCCTACCCAGCAGAAGACCTTCTTCGACAATGCTGCCAGCACCCTCGGCTCCCCCGTCTTCACCGCCGATCTGAAGCACCAGAAGCCCGGAAAGTACAACTTCGGCTTCATCGACAGCACAGCCTACACTGGCAAGATTGGATACGCCTCCGTCGACTCTTCCGAGGGCTTCTGGGAGTTTACCTCAACTGGTTACGGTATCGGCTCTGCCGCCATCAAGAAGAGCCCCATCACTGGTATTGCGGATACCGGTACTACTCTCCTCCTTCTCCCCGACGATGTCAACTCCGCATACTATGCCAAGGTCAGCGGTGCCCGATACAGCTCCAGCTATGGTGGATATGTCTTCAGCTGCTCTGCTACCCTCCCCAGCTTCAGCTTCGTTGTTGGCGGTGTTACCATCACCATCCCTGGCTCCTACATCAACTATGCCCCGGTTCAGGACGGTTCTACTACCTGCCTTGGTGGTATCCAGCCTAGCGATGACATTGGCATCAACATCTTTGGTGACATTGCTCTCAAGGCTGCTTTCGTCGTATTCGATGGTGGTAACCAGCAGGTTGGCTGGGCTAAGAAGACACTGTAAGTGACTTCAGTAGCTGGTGGATGAGTCTGTAAATAGCCTGATCTTGTGATGCGTTTAAACGTTGTACATAGCCTTTCACTTGTCAATGGTTGAAATGAACATAACATTGGAAACCTTATATCGATATTCCAAGTTACTAAACTCAGTCTTCTTCTTTGGTGTGCCAGTGCATGATATAGAACCAACCTGCTAAAAGTCCAGTGAAGGGCTAGAATACGAGAAGACCATGTGAAGCATTCGACAGGCCTATCACCAGCTAGGGTCGATAGCTGGGATCAATAGGCAGGGAGGGGCTGCTGAAAGTTATCAGGCTTGACACAGTTCCCCGGCTTACCCTCATGAGACGTACATTTGCAATTGCCGCCATATATAATCGAGACTGAGACCAGAAAGTCAAATCTTCATCTCTACGGAAAGTGGCTACTCCTTTTTATTGCGTTGAGTTTAGTCTTTACTATCCGCGGTTAAGAGTTCGAATCCGTCCTCTCTGAAGGCTGTCCTGGATGAATCAATGTCACATTCCAATGATCCCTAGCGTTACGCATCCGATAGAAATGCTCGAGATGTCCCATTGAGATGTCACAGGCTTTCTATCAAGGAAGATGAATGAGTTATAGCAAATCGAGCTTGTTATTAAAGATGCGGAATGCTCAAACTGCGTTCGCCAGGCAAAATAGCACTGAAACCTAGAAATGCAATAGATGTATTACTTCGCCACATTAAACTCCGCAATTGGATAAAGAACTTATTTTCAAAGGTTATCTTGCTCCTCTTCTCTGAACTTTAGACACCATGGAAAGAGATCATGAATTATGACGAATGACTATGAAGATGCGCTAAATTACTATGTAGATTAAACCAAAGCTTGAATGCTCTCATGGGTACAAGCCTTCTAGCCGTTTGCTGGTCGTCCCAGTCTTGCGAGCAAGCACTTCAAGCATCTGCGGTATTCCTTTCGGCGCTCTTAATGGCGGATCAGGTTCCTCTATATCCGCGTCAGAATCAGAGTCAGAGCCCGACCCCCAATCCATATCCATGGCTACCATTTCATGCATCTCGACGATATCGTTGCTGTCGAAAATGCCTTCGCGGTGGTTCAACTGGCGAAGGAGGTCAAGTGCTTGGAGCCTCTCATCCCCGCCTTCATTAGAGATGGCAACAAATGAGAGACCGGAGACCAGACATCCGTCTAGTGAGAACGTAGGTTGATCTAGCGCTATTAGAGGTGCGGACACTTTCTCTGCGGCCTCTATGAAGCCTTTGTATGGATCTGGAGGCTGTCGTCCTTTGTTATCGTACACGTTAATGTACATCTGCAGGGATTGATAGTGAAGTTCCAGAGTCTGGATATGTGCCATCTCATCACCTGACACGTTTGGCATCAATCGCTGGGTCAAGGCTTCGAAACGGGAATTCCAGCGACGGAGCATATCCTCAAATACGCTGTCGTTGGCCAGCCCGTCTTCCCTATCCAAATTCCATGGCTGGAAGTCATGATGGAGTCTTAGCTCATGTAAAGCATATGAGGCGTCGCTGAGTGTTGCAAACGGCGAGTCATCACTCGCTTCAGTCCTAGTGTCACTACGACACCATTTCTTGATACCCGAGAGAGGATGGTCCGCCATATAGCCAGACGATGCAAGGCCCATCTCGCTAAACATGTCGACAAGTCCCTCTAGCATATCCGAAGTATCAGAGGAGCTTTGATAACCCAGTGACTGAAATACCGTATCGCCAGCAGCGAGATGTTGCAGGAGTTCATCGTAGCGACCAGTCAGCCCCTCACAAGTCATGAAGAGCAGACAGCAGATCAATATGCAATGAATGTTCTCATTCGAAGGAGCAGACATTATAGGGAGTATCGAGGATATGGCTCTATTATAGTGTTGTATGACAGGACGTTGCAAATGATCAGGACGGGAGTACGGTAGACTTTGGGCCATGTAGGCTCGATGAGATGCCCCAACTGCAATCATGCTGTACCGGATGGCATCGTAGTGATATGACATCGGGAGAGCGTATTTGAGCCAGAAGTTCATGGCAGCAGAAGAAGGTGAAAGCTGCTTTACTGTCAAATGAAGGAAATGTTGGAGGTAGCCTTTTTCTGAGTCTGATAACAGAGAGAGTTGGTCAACGGTCTGCATAGATAGCAGTGGGAGGGAAACAGAGACCCCAGGCTTCAAGGAGGGGTCTCGACGCTTGGAACGCTTTGGGGCCTTTGGCTTGGGTGGCGCATATCCATCACACTTCATCTTGTCGTTATGACAGCGTCGACAAAAAGGTTTTGCTTCGTCACATTTCAAGTGCCTGATTCTAAATAGAGAAAACACATGAGCTTTATACAAGAGGGCTTATGATGAGGTTTGGACTCACTTGCTGCAGTGTTTCCTAATTAGTGATATTTTACGAGAAACGAGGCGGTAAGCTATCAACTTACCAGGTGATACATCCTGTTCTGACTTTGGGAGTCGAGGCTCGCTTGAATTTGCCTCTCATGGCTACGATCTGATTGGCTGTCATGATTGTAGGGAGTAAAAGCTCCTGTTGCTTGTCACGAGACTACAAATTGGAGGTGAAAGGTATGGGTGAGATCATTTTATGCCAATCAGAGCGCTGGGGCTGGTGAGAAATTGCGGGAGAGTGGCTGAGCTGGAAATGGGGCTTTGCTTGCATGTTTGTTGAGATATGTATGCCTCAGGCCCCCACATCTCTCTATGTAGCCTGCCTACTGGGCCCTAGTTAGCTTCCTTAATACATATATATCACACCTTTAAGCCACTCTACTTAACAGGTTATAAGCCCTTATATAAAACCACAGCGTATAGAGAAGAAGCTATTATTTAGTAATTCTCTCTTTTTAAGCAGTTAAAAGCATACATATACCTAGAATAGAAAGGCATTATAGGATAAGCTTCTTTTACTGGCATAATTACTAAGTTAAGGTTAATATATATTAGCTTAGTACCTTATATTATATTAAGAAATAATATTAAATTAGAATTTAGAAAATATTATTAAAAACGTAATATAAAGAAGTATATTTTATTTTTTCTTATTTTTAATTACCTTTAATTAATAATATATTTAAGAATAACCTTTAGTTCTTAATCCCTATATACGTTGCTCTGTATAATAGAATTTATAAAGTAAATACCTTACTGTTATGCAAAAAAAAGCAAAAATTTTTAAAATTAATTAGGATTTAAACCCTAATCTTTTATTTTAGCGTAAAAACGCCTAATTATTAGTAATTTAAAGCCTATAACTATATAGATACTTATAATCTCTAAAAGTAGATTTACTAACAGTTTTATATTACTTAATTAAGAGATTATAAAATAACTATAATACTATAGAAAATTAACTTAAGAAGTGTAAAATAGTATAATTAGTAAAAATACTGCTTTACTATAATCTGTTCCTTATTAGAACGCCTCTTTACCTTTATTATAAAGAGGTTTTACTTATAGATATATAATAGTTATAATACTAAAGAAAATTAACTTAAGAAGTGTAAGATAGTATAATTACTAAAAATATTACTTTACTATAATCTATACCTTATTAAAATGCCTCTTTGCTTCTATTATAAAAAGGGCTTACTTATAAAAAGTATTTAAAGATTTCTTTAAGGCAAGTATAGTAAAATAGAAAGCAGATTATTAGTAAAAGTAAAGAAAGTATTATTAAGATTAAGTTACCTCCCTGCCTTAGGCCTTAGCAGTTCTAAGATATAGTAAGCAGTTACCTAAGCTACTATGCTAACTTACAGTCCCTTAAAACGTTATTTAATAATAGTAATTTAATAATTATAGTATATATAATATTAATTACTAGGACTTTAGTATTCTTTAGCTAACTATATAAAAGTAGGCTAAGTAAACAGCACCGGAGCAAGTTTATATTCTAGATAACAAGACCTATAAGTTATTATAAATATAATAATATACTTATTACCTGTAACTAAAAAGTTAAAGGGCACAGAGAACTATAATATTTAAAGCAAGATAATAAAAATAATATTATAAGTAAAGAACCTTTAGAAATTTATTAAGCAAAACGTTACACTAGCTAAAGGAGTATTAATAAGTAATTAGGTAATAATTAATTAAAAGGTATTATAACCCAATAGGTAGAAGCGCTTATATTACGTGTACCTTACTTCTTTTTACTAATCGCCAGGTGGCTTACGCTTTAACCCTATTAGTACTGTAAGCCTTGCGATGCGGCTTATAATATTAACTTATAACTTACTACAAGCCTGGCTTATAATACCGTAAGCTACCTAAGTATATATATATATTTATTTAGTATTAAATAGAACTTAGCTTACTAGCTATTAATAATACTTCTTTACCTTAATAAGCCTTACCTATACTATTAACTATTAAGAGATATAACTTTAAAATTAATATACTTAGTATAATGTCCTATATAATCTGTAAATATAAACCTAGTATAGACTAGTTTCCCTATTTAAAACCCTAACTATTATATATTAATAGCTTTTATTTAAAATATACTGTATTTATACTAAGTAATATTATACTATTAAGATATTTAGTAATACTAGTCTAGTACTTCCTTACACTGGAGTACTACCTAGTAACACTGAAATAGTAGCTAAAGTTTAGTAGCTTTGCAATATAATTTAAACCTTATAAGCTTAGATAAATAACCAGTAGAATGCTATAATAACCAATAATGGCGGTAGTAAGCAATAAGAAAGAGACCTTAGCGAAGCTCTAAAGCTACCTAAGCTGGAACCCTTTAAGGGATAAGTAACTAATGTAATTCTATTCCTTACCTGAATAAAAGGATACTTTTACTTATTCCTTAATAAACTAGATACTACTACTAAGAAACTCTTGTTTATAGTACCTTTGATTTAAGGAAGTGCTAAGGAATGGTTTAAACTTATTATAAGAGACTACCTTAAGAATAATTAAACTTATTATAAGGGACTACCTTAAGAATAAAAAAGAACCTCTAAAAGTAAAATACCTAAAATATCTTTATAAATTAAAATAACTTTAAATAAGTACTTAAGGATAATTTTAAAGTAATTAATAGTAGCTAAGCTGCTTGTACTTAAATAGTAAAAGTTATGTATTATATATTTAGCTAAGTTTTGCTAACTAGTAGCTAAGACCTAGTGGGATAATAATGCCCTTATAGAAATCTATTACTAAAGTCTTAAAGAAGAAGTTAAAGATAAACTGTACCTTGTAGATAGACCTAATGACTTAATGACTTATATTACTATAGTAATTAAAATCAATGAACGGCAGTATAAATGTAAATAAGAGAAAGCTAACTATAAATGTGAAAATAACTTTAACCCTTACTACCCTAACTAGCAATATAATGATAACTACTAGGGTAACTCTTATAACCAAGGATAATAATAAGGTAACTAGCGTAATAATACCTTATATAAGATATAGTTAGGCCTTATAACACTAGGGGCCACTTAACTAAATAACTAAGGATATAAGCTAAAAGATATATTTAGATATAAGTGCTATAACTGTAATAACTTTGGATATATAGTATAATAATGTCCAGAACTATATAAGTTATAAGACCTGAATTAAGGTAGGTAAACTTTAGGACTAACTTAGCAGATGGAGCCATAAATGGCTTAAAGAACCTAAATATTAGGAATGATATGAGGTATATATAATATAGTAGAAATAACTGCCCTATATAAGGATAATATGCCTAAAGACGGATGGAACCTAAGTAAAGGAAGTTCTATTAGGGAACTATAAGACGGATTTCCTACGTATGAAGATGCTAAGATAGGAAATATACCTTAGATTTCTATGCTATATAAGACTAAGTTAAATGAATACCGAAAGGAGATGAGGAAAGACCTAGTTTATTGGGAAAAGGAATAAAGAAAGTAGTGAGAAATCTATAAGAGAAATAAAGAAGAAAAGCTTATAAAACTGTAAATCTTGGGAATAATAAGATAGGAAAAAACGATTACCCTTAATATAGAATAATTATAAATGTTATAGATAGTAGATAATATCCTTATTAGAACTAAGCTGGTAAGGAATAAAGCGAGATAGAAATAGGAAGTTGAAGACAGGAATAATATTTAATAATCTTACTACTGATAATCCTGGAGTATAGGATATAGGGGAGGATTAGTATAAGCTATAGCTTAATACCTCTAAAAATAAGATAAGGAAATTGCAAGGATGTAGACTTAAGACTATAAAGAGAGATATAATAAGTAGGGACTTAGAATCTTTAAAACCTATAATAATCTTTATATATAAGGAGTAAGAGAATATACTAATACGAAAAAAGGAAGCACAGTCTACGTTAAAGCCTATTATACTAATAATATACTTAACCTATAATACAGGGAACCTGATTTTAATATATAAGATAATATCTAGATAATGCTAATAAACCCTGGATATAATAAAATCTTATAGGTATTATGTAAAAACTACTAGTATGAATAATATAAGTAGGAAAAACTAAATAATAATTATTTTCTAGTTACTATAAAAAAAATACCCAATAATAAACCCTACTTAAAGGAAGAAATAAAAGGGTATTTAGTTAATATATAGTATGACTAGCTTGGAGTTACAGAACTATAATTTAGTATATTACTTTATAGATAGATCTATAAGACTAAGGACCTTCTAGATAGAATTAAATAGTTATAATAAATAATTGAAGATACAGAAAAAGAGTTTAAAGGAATGACTTAAGGAAAGTACGTAAATAAGAAAGTAGTATTAATTAATGATACTAGCTTAGAAGATATTAATAAACTATAATGTTAATAGGAGGTAGATAGCCTATACCTAGATAATAATAATATACTGTCTAGATAAGTAACCTTAAACAAAGGAATTAATAATAAATTAAAGGAATAATATTAATAATAATTGTTTAATAAAGAATTTATTAATAACTATACTAATGGCAAAGGATGTTATAATAGTAACTGCGAGAAGACTTACTATAATGCTTTAGGAAAAGATAGATACTATCTGTAATAAAGCTATAGATAAGTAAAAAGTAATGTCTATAATAAGATGTAAGTGCTCTGGAAGTAATGTAAATAGTAAGTATATAAATCTGCCTAGTGCTACCTATTTAAATTAAGGGAAGATGGCTAAAAGCGTAGGTTAATAGTAGAGCATAACAGAGCTTTATTAATCTAGAAATAGTTATGGAGCTTGGAATACTATAGAAGAAGAAGTTATTACCTTACTTACTAGTTAATACGGAAGGATAGCTTTTTAACTATAATAACAGTATTATAGACTAAGAGACTAATTATCTTAAGATCTTTATTAAAGGAAAGAAATAAAGAGTAGATTTTAATATTATACCTCTAGGACAGGATATAAATATCTTCCCAGGTATAATATAGCTTAAATAAGAAAACCTATCTATTAATTAGAAAAATGGCCAGGTTATTTTCCCTAGTAACCCTAATAATGATAGAAAGATGATTATAAAGAATAATAAGAGATCTTAAA